AACACTTACTTTGTCATTATTTCGACCTATTACTTAAATATTCAAAATATCTGTGCCCTGAAATAAAACTGATAGGAAAAAAAAAAAAAAAATACTGTTTTGGCATTTCCGCTGCACGTCTCCGTGGGTGAGTTAAGGTGCAGCAGGCGATAGACGTCACAGTCAGCGTGACGTCACAACACCACAAGGATCAATCCCACGTCAGTTTAGTTCAGTGACATGGACACAGGCGGTTTCTGAAAGGTTAGAGTCCCAGGGCGTGTTCCAGGTTACTATGGTAACAGATTTTACAGGAAGCGTCTGATTTTGTTGCTCAGACAAGAGCGGTGGACCGACAGCGACCATGAACCCCGGGCACAGAACACAAGCTGTGGAAGTTAATCTTGTGTTGCAACTATTTAAGTTGCTTTACAAAATACTGATGATTTCAAAAACACAAAAGTAAAAAATGACCATAAACATTTGGAAACGTAGCAAGTAAAGATGTCATTTGGTGCCAAATTTACTGTTTATCAGTTGATTCATTGGTTTTGGGGGCAACACAAGAGAACAAACTCAAATCTGCTCCTATCAGGTTAAACTGAGCCCTTCGTTAGTCCCGCCTCCTAAAAGAGCTCCTGGTAGATCTGTCCCAGCACCTCGTGCATCATGCAGAGCAGAGGACAGCCCAGGCTCAGCAGCTCGTACAGGAACACATAGTCATGTGAGTAGCTTCTGACGTGGGACCCCACAACTGAGGCAGACTCACACACACTTTCCAACAGCCGTCGAGGCAACACACACACGGCCCGGCTGGCACGCCTCGGCCAGCTCAGGCCTCGCCTTAGCAAGGAAACCAGGGTACCTGGGGGATGGATCTGGCCGCTGCCCGTCTCCAAGTAGCTCCCACCGTCCAGCGACAAGGGTGTGACGCGGTTTTGGTCGTCCTGCATCAAGAAACATTGATGAAACTTGTATTATACATCAAAATTCATAATTAAATCCTGAACTAAACAGACAAAAGTGTGGTTGCAAAAATAAGTGTGGTTTCAACGAAGCTGCACTGAAAAACATACCAAACATTCATTTTGTAATTTGACATCTACAAGTTAGTTTTATTGCTCGTGTGTAAGTGAAGAGTTTCTTACCATTCTCCTCCTGAACCTGTCCGAGTGAGAGCAGGACTGACGCTGGGCGTAATGCATCTTACAGTAGAACTTTGCTGCAAATGAATCACACTAAAATAAGAATCATCCATAAACTTTATATTTAAAAAGAGGCTAACGTGTTTCTGATAATTCACTGGACGTTTTCAAACCATAGTCGTCGTCGCAGCATTTACAGTTACAGTAAATCAAACGCACCCGCCTGAGAGTCGAAGGTGTGTCCTCCCAGTCGGAGGGTGCAGTTACAGACGTCGCAGCGGAAACACTCGCGGTGGAAGAAATAGCCCTCGGCGCTCAGTCTCTCCATCACGTACACTCGCTTGGTGCAGAAGTGGCAGATGTCGCTGCCGCCGAGCCCGGCAGAGAAGTCCTTACGCACCACGCACTGACGTGAGAAAGATCGAGGTTACAGTGATATCAGGGGAAGGTTTTTATTTAGGGTTTAATTTCCAAGAGAAACCTGCAAGAACTACAAAACAAAAAAAGTGGTGAAACTGTTAAAAGCAGCTGCACACGTCATGAGAAATGTTAGACATAGACAAAAAGTGTTGTTATCAAGATGCATCAAGGCAACGAGCTAAAATCTGTATGACTGAGAATCCAATGTCCAGCAGGAGACTGAAGACTTCTAAACAGAGCTTGGTGGATTTGTTACAGGAAGCCGGGGATCATGGGTAATATCCAGCGTTCAGTTGTATTTCAGATGAGTGAGAGTCACACAGTGTTGCTTTAACGGCAGCAACAATCGCAAAGATGCGTAATTAAGATGCATATGCACACGCAGCCTGTCCACTGAAGCTTGATCTCAACAGTCACCGACACTTAACTTCCATTTTCAAAAGGACATCGGCAAAAAACAACAACGAGAAAAAGGCCACAAACTCTCTGGGTTGGATTAGTTTCAGCGACACACGCGTGCATCTTACCGGAGTGCTATTGGGCCTGTGGTCTGTCTCATACAGGATGGCCAGTAACTGAGCTTTAGCATCTATGGCTGATGAAACTTTTCCCACCGTGCGCTAATGTCAAAGCCACAGATACACAGGCGAGGACAGAGGAAAGAGGAAACAACAATAGTAGAGTCACGAAGAGGAAAAGTGGGGGGGTTTGTTTCATGTTTCACTTAGAATGACTGTGACTGTTTTCAGCCTGAGGTGGTAACTAGTACCTCTTTACTGTAACTAGCAGCTCCAGTCGGACAACTCTCAGAGCGAACGATTGACTTGTGACCGATTCCTCTGACGTTCTCAAGAGCACAGCTCCCGTTGGACTGAACAAACACCAGAACACAGTTTACCTACAGCAGGGCACAAACGTCTGGGACCAGTGTGACATCGACCTCTGGACCGTGAGTTATATACGGAACAGTGGATAAATGTAAAAGAGATGAGAAGAAGAAACTTTCTCATTGATTTCTCAGAGAATAGTTTATGAATCTATATTATTATTATTAACATTTCCAGTGTTTTGACACAGGAATTATAAGGGTGCTGTATGTGAGTATAAGTACTTTATGATTTATTTCCTCACAGAAGATGATCTACGC